AAACTCAGAGTCTCTGCGGCCCCCGCGGAGGCAACTACACGCTTCAGTCTGACGGAACGCCAACTGAGTAAAGAGACCCGGGACCTCACATTCTGCCGAATCGACGCGTCGGCCGCACACACGAGCCATCCACCTTGGGCCCCATTTCTTCGAGCGGACCCGGGACCGCCAGCGTCAGAAATAATCACGAAATTCAAAGAAGCGGCATCCAGGGGCCAAATCGTAATCTTTTGGCACGCCGAGCTCTTGAGATGCTTAACTATTTTCAAACACAAGATGGCGTCAGCCACCGTGGGGTTCGGCAACGCGGCACTCTGTAAAGAGGCTCCGGCGGCCACGTCCGGACGAGACTCCCTCCCCAACCACTGTATCTGAGCTACCATCGTACGATAGTGGCGGACCTCCTCCGCGGTGAGAAGATCATCCGGCACAGCACGGCGCTCCTTAGCCAGACGCATGGGAGCGAGCTGTTCGGCTATGTATTTTTCCTGATCCACGAAAATACGAGACCCCACCTGCTTGAGGTGTCTGCCTGCAAAATCTGATTCCTCACTTTTCCATTTCCCGAACTTGAAACGCCCCTGGATCCGTTCCTTCAAACCGACTCTCTCCCCGGGGTGTGAAGCCACAATAAGATCGTCCACTTCTATGAGCACTATGGAGCGAGGTTCCCCCTGACTGGACCGTTTCACCCACAAACAGGGCTCAAGAAGAGATTTCTCGAAGCCATCCTCGGACAGCCATTGTGTGAGCGTGCGGTGCCACAGCAAAGGAGCATCGTTCAGTCCATACACTGGCGCAATGAGCTCGATGAGCTCGCCTGGGGCAAGGTTCAGCCCCTGGCAAGGCTCGCATAAAATCTGTCCACGCGGACGAGATAGTCTGTTGGACTGACAGAAAGCATTCTTAGCATCCGCAACTTCTAAGGTCCAGCCCAACGAACAAATCGCTTGTAAAGTCAACATGATGCTTTCTCCCTGGGGGGTGGGGGCGTACACCTGCAACTGGTCGCTATCGGGATCATGGTGTCCCTGCACACACCATCGTGACTTAGCAACCGCTTCGGACCCCAGACCCTCCTGCGGTTTAAAGCGTCGGACCATCCGGGAACCCAGCACTCGATCGGGAAAACGCTTGCGCACCAACGCTGCCTCGGCAGCAGGAACGATCCTCACCGCTCCTGAATCTAAAATCGCTCGCCACTCCTTGGCGTCTGAAAAAACAAAAAGGCGTCTCTCGGCCTCCGAGAGATGCTTGAGCGAAACCTCCGCTCCTCTCCGACTGGGAGGAGCTCCTTCCCCAGAGCATCCCCCAGTCTCCGCGAAGGTTCCAGCTCCCCCGACCCAAAACGACGGCTCCCAGCCGTACCACCCGCACAACTCAGCCCATAGGCTTTCCCCTTGCTCTTCGTCGAACTCCGACTGCTCGTCTTCGCCGCCGTCTCCGAACCAAGAACCTAAAAACCTTTGATCTGGAGGCACATCTTCCAAGCCAGCATCTCGAATCGCCCGATCGGCGACCCTCGAAACCGGAGCACCGCTTCTGTCAAAAATCGTGCCCGGTCTCAGGGACTCATCCCTGGGCTCGAGAAGGCGAGGCTCGGGAGTTCGCGACCTCGCGCGCCCTCCGGACTCCAGGACGGCGTCTGCGCCGTCGCCAGCACCTAAGCTCTGCTGGCCAGGAGTATCGGAGGAGGAAGAGGCAGCCGGGCGCAGATCGCCACGGCGAATCGAAACGGGAGTATCATCTAAAGCACTGCGGCGCCGGATCGAAGGATCGATCTCTCTCGCAAGCGCCATCACTCGCCCCGGAGCTGGCAGCTGCTCTGCGGGAGTCCGTGGCGCTGACTGCGGATGAGGAGGAGGCGGCTCTAACCTTGGTCTCTGATGAGGACGAGGGGAGGGATCGACTCCATCCGGATCCGTAATCTGACGAGAGATCGCGGGCGTGGGCACGGACCCCTGGACCGAAGAGGGAGGTTGGACCGTCGAGGCCCTCTCGAGCGAAGAGGAGGGAGGGGGGGGAGCGGGAGGGACAGGAGGATCGTCTTCTGGAACAACCACAGGCTCAACCCCCCTAGCCGTCGGTGGGGCCACCACCACAGCTGCGCCTTCCGAGCGTTCCGGGGGTGCCGCCACGTCCCAAGCACCAGGAGGAGGGGGCCCCTCGGACTCCACGTCAACCGCTCCCACCCGCTTCCCTGGATCCTTCAGGTCCCGCCTGAGACTGTCAAAAGCGGGAGAGTCGAGAAGCTCGGCTCCCCACGACTCCTCCTTGGTAGCCCAACGAACCTGTTCACTCCCACACTTCAAAAGGCGCGAACGCATCGCCACCCAAACCGTCGTCCCTTGCTGAAAAACCACAGCCCCGGGCCCGGTCCATCTACTCTTACCGACATTGCCGTGAGGCTGAGAGGGGGCACGCCTCCATACGTAAACCCAACTCCCCGGAGGAAACACTGGATCCACATGCTTGCGAGCACGCGAGGCAGAGACAAGGCGGTCTCGCACGTCCATGGTCATGACGGCCCGCCGGGCCTCTTCTCGCAAAGCATGCTTCCTTGCGAAAGCAGCCGACGGAGACTCCGCATCGGTCGATCCCCTTACTACCTCGTCGATCCCGACCTCATCATGAGCATCGCCCGACAAAAGGCAGCGAGGGAGTCTCGGATTTTCCCCAAAAACCATTTGATAAGGAGAGAACCCCCCCCTGTGAGCAAAACGGTTCTTGGCAGCGACCACCTCGCAGAGAAGATCCTCCACTTCTTCTAGAGTCGCAGGAGCAGTGCCACCAGAGGCCTTAACCAGAGCAGCCTTCACGAGTCCCCCATGACGCTCGCAGCGCCCGTTCTGGTGGGGTGACTCCGCGTCGCACACGTGTTGGAAGATTCCTTCCTGCTCCAGCCCTCGGGAAAAGGCTCCCTCGAACTCAGGGCCCCCGTCTGTCACGACGGTCTCAGGCAGACCAAGTGGCCTCACCCAACACCGCAAAAAGGCCCTCCACACTTCGGCAGCCGAAGCCGTTGGCAGGAGGACGCAAACCTGGAAGTTCGACCCGTGGTCGATCAAATTGAGGACTGGCCTGGTCTCGCCGAGAGCGTTTATATACAGGAGGTCTGCCGCGACCAACTTGTTAAACCGATAGGTTCGCGGCAGGCACGAGCGCCGACGCCAGCCGCGCCGAGAGGCTGACTGACATCCAGGGCACACGAAGTGCTTGCTGACCCAGTTGATGACCTCAGGCTTCGCTTGAGCGACCTTTAGCGTCCTGATCAGATGCTCTCGCCGGGGATGTCCCAAATTCACGCGTAACTTGTGAACCTCATCCTGGAGCTCCCGGGGAATACCAATCGAACCTGAAGCATCGGATTTCTCGGCCCCCTCAGGGCCTGGACGCTCGAGTTCCCCCTCCTCATCGGAGTCGCTGATTTCTCCGCCGTCAACCGGGTGGGGGTCAGCCCCTGGAGCAGCAGCGGCTGGAAAGGAAAGGGCCCCCGGCTCACCAGCCGACAAAACTGCAAAGCCTGTTCGCTCGACACCCTCAGTCAGCGCGTTCACCAGACGCTCAGGATACCGCTCAGCAGCCGATGTCCTGGCCCCGCCCACTAACTGCGAATGCTCATGCTGTCCCCTGCACCTCCTGTGACACACGGCGAGGAGCTCTGGACTATTCGAAATGAAGCTCGTGGGCTTCATGGCTAGACCGCCGTCGAGGGTCATGAGCCCGAATTCACACTGATCTCCCCGAACCACCTGGACCCCGGGTTGGCTCAGAAGCTCCCTCGTTGAGGTAAGCTGCTGAGAGAAAGCCCCGTACGGGTTTTCAATCCAGAAGGAGCGTCCCTTGGAAAGCTGAAACATCGCCAACTGCATACACAGACCCCACATCAGCAGACACTCTTGCTCGACTCGATCTCTATCGTGCTTCGGCATGGTGTCCCAGTTAGGGACCCTGGCAACGCTCATACCCTTGCATGGCGGACTCATCAGAATGACCTCAGGCCCGTCCGTCTCCATGACCTCCCAGAGCTTGGCTCTCTGCTTTGCCTGGCGAAGATCCCAACCTGTTCTGAGATCGACGGCGCGGGAAGCCTGATAACCCCTACGAACCATTTCCACTGAGACTCGAGGAGTCGAGAAAAGTTCCAAAAGCAGAGTCCTCTGTTCTCGCCGAAGATGGCGTATGAGGTCCTTCCTTAGCTTCTTGCGACCGGTTCGAATTCCTACCCCGTCAAACATTCTAAGGGCATCTTGGCGCACATGACGGGGAACTGCTGCTTCTGGCACTTCATGACGCTTGCTAAGGAGCGGGCTCTTGTCCAAGACGACCCAGGAGCTAGAGATCTGGGAAGCTAAGCCCGACGACGGGCGACCCGGGGACCAGACGGTAAACCTTAGCTGATCAGCGCTGCATCCGGCTAAGGCCTCTTGAAGCCCTGACGCTGAGGCCCCGGCCCACAGCACGTCCACCACATCCCGAGCTTGGTCCGTCGCTGTCACTCTCAGACGCCTAACCCCCGACCGAGGACACTCCATCGCACGGCTGTCCGCGGCTCGAAGAGCGAGGTAGACCAACCACTGGGCCTTCTCGCTCGGGCCGAGGTCCTCGGCTTGCCACTGCGCCTCGTCCGAGAGCCTTTCCAGGGAAACATGCCCTCCCGTGTCCGCATCCCAGACCCAGCGAGCCTCCAGGCCCGACCTGACCCTCAGATGCTCGCGGCGTCCCCCAGAGTCCCAGACGGAAAAGCTTCTGGCGGTCCAGCCGCTCGGATCGGTCCCCGGGCGCAGGAGCTGGCGAAGCCGCCTTTGAGTTTCCTGAGAGGCCGACGAAACTTCCCAAATCGTGGAACAACTGAACTTCTTTTGGTCCAAGGCTCTGCTCGAGCCCAGGTCATGCTCGGCATCTGCGGAGCCTGCCGTCGCACGCTCACTAGCCGCCAGATCATTGTCCAGCTTGTCCTGGGCCGTGCAGCTGTTCACGTGAGGCGCCTCGAGCCGAACTCGTCGCTCAGCGTTTCCATGGGTGCTGGCCCGATCGGAAGCCTCGCCGAGTCCGAAGCCGACGATCCGCCTGAGTGAAGATTCGCCGTCAGGACCGTCATCAGCTGCTCGAACCGCTCTCTCGTCGCCTGCGACTCCTGCCTCTGTGCGAGCATGTACTCCAGGATCTCCTTGCGGTTGGACTCTTGGTTCTGCAAGAGGGCCTCTATCATGTGACTCTCGCCCGTCGGGTTCGGGTTCTGGCCACGCGTCAGGTGCGCGACCCCAGAGGACTTGCGTGCCGTCGGAGGTGCCTTCGTCGCTGCCGGTCCCTCGAGGTCGATCGTCTCGTAGTCCTGCGGCGACCCGTGCTTCCTCGGTGGCGGCATCTTCCAGGTGAGAGGGTTCGGCATTCCCGGATGCTCCTCGCTGCTGGGAAACACTGGACACGCCGAGCTGATGGGCAGGACCCTGCGGTAGTTCGGGTGGTGAGGGGGAACCTCCTGGGCACCCGGCTCGTCGAGGGTCTCCTGCTTCACGTGCTCCTGCTTGGCGTGGTAGGCCTCCACCGCCTCCCTGATCCTGTCCTGCTCGTTCTTGGCCTTCCGTGACTTCTCGGTCTTCTCGCACTCCTTCTTGATCTTGGCCTCGAGCTTCTCCTCGACCGTCTTGGGATGATACGAGAGACGCGTGGTGCATAGCTGGCAGACGATCCAAAAAGCATGCTGGTTGGCCCGGCGCTTGCGACGCTCCGGGGGGCGCAGGCAGTTCTCGGCCTTGTAGATCTCCTTGGTGGCGATCGCCGACACCGCCGAGGGGGCCAGCACCGAGATCAGCCTCGACTGAGCGCACGATATCAGTACAGCCAGCAGCTTCAGCGCGAAACGGCGCCAGCCTGTCTCTGCCGGAGTGAACATGAACCCGCCCTCGTTGACTAGACTCTTCTCGACCTCGCTGAGCTCCACCTCCGAGTAGTCGATCTGCTGCAGCTGCGTGTCCCTCCAGGGATCCGGCGTGACGCCCCAGTTCTCCTCGATCTCGCTCTCGGCCGGCTCCTCGTAGTGCGTCGGCAGAGCGAGCCCGCCAGCGTTCCTGAGCGTGGCTCGCGTGCGTCCCAGCAAGTTCCCCACCGACCTCGAACCTGGCTTGGCGCCCTTCTTGACCACCTGCACTGGCATGGCTATTCGCAGGTGATGAGCTGGGAGACGATTCGTGGACGAGAGACTCAGCCGAGCTAGAGCCGAGAGGGGCTACGGAGGAGAGGGAATCTCGATTCCTCTCGTCAGTCCCTGACTTCAGTCCCGTTGTGACCAATCCCGACTCGAACGAAAACTCGGACGACGAGAGAGGGGAGGAAGACTGCTGGCATGCCGACTGCCCCGGCCCGCCCCTACTGTCCTGCACAGGCGGCACTGTCACCTGAAACTCCGTGTGTCCGACCCAGTAGTCCTGCATGAGCTTCGCCTCATCCTCCAGGTCGGAGACTGAGCCCTCGAAGATGTGCTCGACGTAGATCCCGTCGGGATTCCTGAACCTGCAGGTCGTGACCATCTCGTCTCCCAAGAAGCTCGACGGAACAGGGGACTCACTCAGATCCTTCTTCACTGGCATCGCGCGCCGGGGCTTGGTGAACACCAGCCTCAGCTTGTCGCCGCCCCGCTCCCACCTGTCTGCGCCGCTCGACACGCTCATGACCCAGGCGCTCTCCGAGCCGATCCGAAAGGACGGAAACTTCTGGGCCAGATCAGGGTCGAGAACGAACTCTGACGGGGACTTGCCAATTAGACCGATCGTGCGGTGACCTGACGGGAGCTTCGTCATACTCAGCGTAGCGATGTCGTCCGCCCCCACCGTCATTCGGTTAGCCGCCAGGTCGATCTTGGCCGACATGAAGTCCAGGAACCCTGCTGGGAGCAAGGGAGGACAGGGATGCGGCAGCACGAGAAACTCCAGGACCCCACAGCCGTGAAATGATACTGGTACGAAAGCCTTGGCGACCGGACGGACACGCCCTCCGACACCGTTGGCGAAAGGAAGATCGTCCTGGCACCTGACGTGCACCCTGAAGCCCTTCTCCTTGAAAGCCAACTTGAGGTGCTTGAGGTCCGGGACTCCGATCAAAGCCTGGGCCGCCGCCGTGCCCACCAGGGCCTGGTCCGCCATCGACCTCAGCGTCACTCCTGAAAAGGAGTCTGACCTGCCGGCCGTCACCGAGGCTATCGCCTCGGCGAGCTCCTCTGCGAAAGTCGCCCAGGTACTTCCGCTCGAGCCCGCTGCCGATTCCACTTGAAAGTAAAAGCTCTTGCCCTCCGACTTGAGTCTGTCCGCCTTCGACCTATATGGCTTCTTACAATCTTCTCGCCAGTGACCCTTGTCTCCACAATTCGCGCAGCGCGTTCTCTTCTTCAAGTCGTCCTTGCTGATGCGCTTGAAGCCGGAGGACGGAGCCTGAGGATGAGTGACTCCACCCTTGTCGCCTCGCTTGCGATCGAAGAATTCTCGGTCGACTTTTCTCGCCGCCTTCATCTGTCTAGACTCCTTCCAGGTGCGCCTTCGCTTGGAGGCCATCTCCATGAAGACCTGGTATCCCTCGTCCTCGCACAGGTCCTTGTCGTCCAGCGCTCCCAGAAACACCGTGACATCATCCTCAGGAAATTCCATTTCAAATAGATCGAGGGTCTCGTCGCCTTCCTCTGAGTCCGAGTCCCAGCCTTGTAGTTCTGCTGGAAAGCTCTTCGCGGACGTCGCTGACTTTTGTGGGGGAACCGACTTCTCTGAGACGTCCAGCTCCAGGAGTGCTCGTCGGACGGCCGCTACTGTCTTGTCCCCGCCCATCAAGGTCCGTAGGTTGATGCGGTTCTGCTTCGTCAGCTGGGCGCCCTCCTCATAATAACGTGCCTGCACTGCGTCCGGCAACGTGAGACCGAATCTTTCTGCTTGAGCGATCTGGCTGTCACGCCTGATGACGAAGCCCGTGAGAGACTCCGTCGGACGAATCAGGTAGTCGAACAACGCTTCGTTGTGTGCTTCTCGCTCCTTGTCGCCGGGCTTCTCGCCCTTGGGGAGGTGCAAGTGCTTGAGCAGCTCGGTGATCCCGTCTTCCGTGTCCAGAAGATGACGTATGCCCTTGCACTTGCCCTGAAGATCTATCTCGAAACTCTCGAGCACCTTACTGGCCTGGTATTCTGGCAGAACCCCTGTTCTCTTAGACCACGCTAGCAGGTTAGCCGTAAAAATCTCCAGGTGATCGAGCCCGGGAAAGGAAGGAGGCGCTGAGAAATCTCTGCTCCTGACGGGCTGTGAGCCCACCTTGGTCCAGCTGTGGGTGCCGTTGTCGCCCCAGTCTGAGGCACCCCACTGCCAGCCGGCTCCTGACCAACGTTGCCACCAGGAGTTCCACCAGCTGCCTTCTGCTTCTTCGTCATTCTGCTGGTGTGCTGCGTCCACCTCTGCCGGTGAGCTCCCAGCCGGTCGTGGCGCCTCGGGCGTCCTCGCGCCCTCGGTAGCCTGTCCCGACCCATTTTCATCCACGCTCCGCATACCATTGAGATCGTCTCCGTCGGGCATTGAAGAGGGCGAAAGATAACGAGTTAATCTAGGATGGGCATAGAGTTTTCCGAGGCACGCCTCTGAACACCACGATACGATACTGTGAAACTCCGCCAACGCGGCGGCCTTAAGCCAAGAGGCTGCGGTCAGATCCAAGGGACAAGTAGGGAGGAGGGGAGTGGGAACACGACCACAAATGGGCGGTCCTGGCACCCGAACAGCAGGACGATGCACAAAGTTGTCCTGGAGACCCTTTCCTCGATTAACGGAAGCAAGAGCGAGCATCGCATCGCGGTTGGTTTCGATCTCTTCGGGAGGGGGTCGAAGGGGGGAAGCCATGAGAGTGAGCTTGCATCTCCTCCTCCTCCTCCTCCTCCTCCTCCTCCTCCCCCTCCTCCTCTCCTCCTCCTCCTCCCCCTACCCCTCCTGCTCCTCCTCCTTGAAACTCCCCTCCTCCTCCTCCTCCTCCTCCTCCTCCTCCCCTCCTCCTCCTCCTCCCTCCCCTCCTCCTCCCCTCCTCCGAGGCCCCCTCCTCCTCCTCCTCCTCCTCCCATCGCCACCTCCTCCTCCTTCGCTCCTGGCTCCTCCTCCTCCTCCTCCTCCTCCTCCTCCTCCTCCGTCCTCCTCCTCCCCTCCTCCCCTCCTCCTCCTCCTCCCTCCCCTCCCCTCCTCCTGTTCCTCCCCCTCCTTTTTCCTTCCCGACTCCTCCACCCCCTCCTCCTCCTCCTCCGCCCCCCAGACTTCTTCGTATTAGTATTATTAGTCGAGTATTATTATTATTATTGTTATAGTAAATTATTATTATTATTTTATTATTATTATTATTATTATTATTATTATTATTATAATTATTATTATTATTATTCTTATTATTATTATTATTATTATTAGATTATTATTATTATTCTTATTACATTATCATTATTATTATTATTATCATTATTATTATTCGTATTATTATTATGATTATTATTATTATTATTAGTAGTAGTATTGTTATTGTTATCATTATTAATATTATTATTATTATTGTTAGTATTATTATTACTGATATTATTATTATTATTATTATTAATATTATTATTATTAATATTATTATTATTATGATTAGTATGAGTATTATTATTATTAGTATTATTAGTATTATTATTAGTAGTATTATTATCATATTATTATTATTATTACTATTATTCTTATTATTATTATTAGTAGTAGTATTATTATTATTATTTTTATTATTGGTATTAATATTAGTATTATTATTGTTATTATTATTATTATTATGTTTCTTAATCTTGGTGGTATTATTCTTAGTAGTATTAGTCTTCTTATTCTGCTTCTGATTATTATTCTTATTGTTCGTTTTCGTCGTCTTCCTTTTATTCTTATTAGTAGCATTAGTCTTCTTAGTATTCTTAGTATTATTCTCTTGCACAGGGTGTCTAGAGCTCCGACCACTTTATTTCGGCACCGCCCCCCCCTTCATCATCATCATCATCATCATCATCATCATCATCATCATCATCAGCATCATCATCATCATCATCACCATCATCCTCACCATCATCACCATCATAATCCCCATCATCATCATCATCATCATCATCATCATCATCCACATCATCATCATCATGCGCCCCCTCCGTATCAGCGCCCTCCCGCGGCTCCAGCGCCCGCCCAGTGCCCCCTACAACATCCGCTCACACGGCGGATGAGATGGCCCAGGCAACCGCTTGCGAAGCGAAACGTGGCTACCTGACAACGCACCGTGTACTACATGGATGTAGTGCGACGGAATATCCTGCAGGGGCGTTACGGGCACGCCGACACTGGGTGTGACGACGACACGAGCATGGCGCGTAATTGCATAACTCTTGGGACCACACGTACCTACAGCAACCGAAGTGCTGCTATTACATTACGAGCAACAACGCACTTGCTCATCGTCATGATCATGATCATGATCATCATCATCATCAGCATCATCATCATCAGCAGCAGCAGCATCATCAGCATCAGCATCAGCATCAGCATCAGCATCAGCATCAGCATCAGCATCAGCATCAGCATCAGCATCAGCATCATCATCATCATCATCATCATCAGCATCATCATCATCATCGTAATCGTCGTCATCGTCATCATCATTGTCGAAGACATGATCATTATCATCATCAGCAGCACCGTCATCATCGTCGTCCTCATCATCACCACCATCAATCGTCACCAGCATCGCCATCATCATCGTCGTCATCATCATCATCATCCTCATGCTCCTCATCATCATAAGCATCATCAGCAGCATCATCATTATCAGTATCATCATCATCATCATCATCATCATCATCATCATCATCATCATCATCATCATCATCATCATCATCATCATTGGCATCCTCGTCATAATCATCGGTGTCATCATCATCCGCATCATCATCAGTCTGAGAATCGCCGTCGTCAGCATGCTTATAAGCATCATCCTTTCAGCATCAGCACCATCATCAGACGCAGCATCAGTATCATCGCCATCATCATCATCATCATCAGCATCATCATCATCAGCATCACCATTTTCAGCATCAGCCTCATCATCATCGTCAGCAGCAGCAGTGTCACCGCCATCACAGTCATCGTCATCATCATCATCAGCAGCATCATCATTATTACCGGGCATCATCATCATGAGCAGCAGCAGCATCATCATCATCTCAGCGGCATCGACAGCATCATCATCAGCAGTATCAGCAGCATCATCATTACCATCATCAAACAAAACGGCCACTATGCCTATGAGTACATAGCACGGCGCAACCTGTGTCCGTCACAGGTCAAGTGGAACCGTGCATCAACGGTCGCGCTGCTACACAGCTGTTTCCTAGTAACAACGAACAAGAAAAACAAGCAAAAAAAGGGAAACGCACAAAAAACACCCACGGCAACCAACGACAAACTTTCCTCCCTCCTACGTCCTCCCTCCTACGTCCTCCCTCCTCCCTCCTCCCTCCTCCCCCCTCCCCCACTCCTCTCCTCTGCTCGACAGGCAGCCGCTTCAAGAAGCGCGCCACGTCCTTCAGGGCAGTGCTCGCCGGCATCCCAGGGGCCACCGGGGCCATTCCTGCGCCCGACGCCTCGGGGGGGATTCGTCTCGAGGGGAAGGAATAGGAGGAAGGCACGGAGGAGGAGGAGGAGGAAAAGGAGAAGGAGAAGGACGAGGGGGGAAGGGAGAGGAGGAGGAGGAGGAGGAGGAAGAGGAAGAATAATAGAAACAAAAAAAAAGAAGAGGAGGCCGAGATCGGACAGAGACTAGGCCCACGAGCACGTCCAGGACCTCGGCACCGCGCAGGGGGGGGTGCTTCCCGCGGGCGCCACGGGGCGGAGCCACGAGGAGAAGAAGGGGGAAGGCGGAGAGGAGGGAGGAGGGACTCCCTGGTGACGGAGGCTGGCGCGCCCCGCCACAGGTCGCGGCGCGGCTGGGCTCCGCCAGCCCACCCAACAACGTCCCTGTTCTCCTTCTCCTCCTCCTCCTCCTCCTCCTCCCCTTCTTCCTCCTTCTCCACCTCCTCCTCCTCCTCCTCCTCCTCCTCCTCCTCCTCCTCCTCCTCCCCCTCCTCCTCCATCTCCATCCTCCTGCTCGCTGCTCCTCTCCACCACTGCTTCTCCTCCTTTTCCACCTCCCTCCTCCTCAGCCTCCTCCTCCTCCTCCTCCTCCTCCTCCTCCTCCGCCTCCTCTCCTCCTCCTCCTCTCCTCCTCCTCCTCCTCCTCCCTCCCTCTCTCCCTCCCTCCCTCTCTCCCTCCCTCCTTCCCTCCCTCCCTTCAGTTTCCCAGGGAGGGTCTTCGTTCCCCCTCCCTGTCTGCCAGTCTGCAGTGGTGCTTCGCGCACGCTATTCTGACTGCGGGGGCTGGGGGACAGGGCGAACCCCCCGGCAGCTGAGATGCGGACCCTGTGCCGGCTTATTCCACTCCTGACGGTCGCTGTCCCCTCCATCGCGGGCTTGCCAGGCACCAGAGGTGGCCATGGACGTGCCCGCCTAGAGGCACAGTGGTCGGTGTGGGGATGCTCCGTAGCGGGAGGTTTCCTCCTGCCCGGTCATGCCCACTAAAAGCATCCGTCCCCGAGGACGCGAACGCCGCCCAATGGGCCCACCTAGCCAGCCTCCCTCCCTCCCTTTCTCCCTCCCTCCTCCAACTCTTCAAAAAATCCTCCTCCTCCTTCTCCTCCACCTCTGCCTCAATAACCATTATACTTATAATACTCACAATAACACAAAGAAGAATACGAATAAATGAATAAATGAAAGAATGGAAAATTGAATATACATAAAAACGAAACAAATAATGATAATAATAACAATAATAAAGAAGATAATGTTTATTCGGGTCATAATAATGGTGCTGGTAACGATAGAAAAACGAATAAGAATAAGAAGAAGATGAATGGTCATCATCATCATCATCAGCAGCAGCAGCAAGATCATCATCATAACCATGATCATCACCATCAGCATCAGCATCAGAACCATCAGCATCAGCATCAGCATCATCGTCAGCAGCATAATCAGCAGCATCCTAATCATCAGCAGCATCATCGGCATCATCATGATCATGTTCGTCATCATCATCATCATCATCATCATCATCATCATCAGCAGCAGCAGCATCATAAGCATCATCATCATTAGCATCAGCATCATCATACTAATCGCCAGCACCATCGTCATCACCAGCATAATCATCAGCATCACCATCAGCATAATCATCAGCATCATCATCAGCAGCAGCAACATCATTATCATCATCAGCATCATCATCAGCACCAACATCATCCGCATCAGCATCATCATCACCATCAACAACATCATCATCACCAGCATCAGCATCATCATCAACAGCATCCGCAGCAGCATCCGCCGCAGCATCAGCAGCAGCATCATCAGCATCATCCTCATCATCATCGTCATAATCAGCACCATCATCAGCAGCATCATCATCATTAGAATCATGTTCATCATCATAAGCATCATCATCATTAGCATCGGCATCATCATAACCGCCAGCACCATCATCATCATCATCATCATCATCATCATCAGCATCATCATCATCATCATCATCATCACCAGCATAATCATCAGCATCACCATCAGCTTCATCATCAGCATCATCATCATCAGCAGCAGCATCATCAGCAGCATCCTCATCATCATCATCATCAGCATCAACATCATCAGCATCAGCATCATCATCAGCATCAACATCATCATCATCATCATCAGCATCAGTATCAGCATCATCATCAGTAGCATCCGCAGCAGCATCCGCAGCAGCATCAGCAGCAGTATCATCAGCATCATCATCATGATCATCATCATCAGCAGCAGCAGCATCATGATCATCATCATGATCATCATCATCATCATCATCAGAATCAACATCATCATCATCATCATCATCATCATCATCATCATCATCATCATCATCATCATCATCATCATCGCGTTTGTCCGTAGCTGGGTCGGCTGAGCGGGGAGTTCGCAGACGCACGCACGCTCCAGTCTGTTGCAGCTCGGTGCCATGCCAGTCAGCCGTACTTTCTGATAACGAGAGTTATCGCCACAAGAAAATCATCTTCTTCCTGCACGTGGCCGAACACGGGTTCACGGTCGTGCAGGGCTCAATCCATACTTTCAGTGGCGGAGTTTACCCACAGATGCCTGTCAGGCTACCTTGGCCGCGTCCCTCTCACCATGGCAGGTGGCCTCAAGAACAAGTCGAACAAATTCATGCGGCTCTTCTTCACCCTGGTCGCGGAGCTGGAGCCGAGGTATCTGAGTGGGCACTTGGCAGATTGCAACAGAACGATATCCCATCTTTGTCGTTTGCCATCGCGGAGCTGGCTGACCAGATCGCGGGCCCCCAGCAGGTCGCAGGCCGTAATACTACGGGCCTGGGGGAGAACTTGGCAATGGTTTGGTCAACTCTCGCGATGGCGTGTCTTCACAAAGCTCAGGTACGGAGCCGACCGGTGTCTTGGGCTCGACGTGTTTGGCATGCACTACCACCGTTAGTGCAGGCAGCGGTTCAGCAGAAGGGTATTGATTACATCAAGCAGGTCCACGCGGACGTCCTGGAGCCCAAGAGTGTCACCTACATCTACATCCTGTTTGCTCACTCCGGTTTCTAGATTGGCAAGTGCAACGGCCAACGCCGCTCGGGGATCCCCTCGGGCATCGCGGCCCGCGCTATGGAGCACCTACGGGCACTCCGCCTACCAGCCACACGGGACGGAAAGACTGCACGGTATCGCTTGCTGCGGGAGTCGTTGGGCTCGGCGGCCTACCTGCCGGTGTGCCACTTCGAGTCCGAGGTGCGCGCCCTGGCCACGGAGTCCAGCCTCATTGGTATGCTAGGCCCGCAGTGCAACGGTCTGGATGTGGCGCAGCTGCGGGCCACGACACAACAAGCAGATCCTCTACGCCAAAAACCACCAGTCCGACGTCGGCGACCCCACAAGCGGTTTCGTGCTACAGCGTCGGTTTCATCAGCCTGGCTTGCGCATCCGGTGCAGAACGCCTTTAAGAAGAGGCTCAAGCATGAGGAGAAGGTGAATTGCATTTCTGATAGTTGGGGTCCGTGGGGGACCCTGTATCAACGAGTACAGCTACACATTCTACTTACGTCAGGTGAGCATGGTCCACTATCAATCTTGCAGCCGCAGTGGACCAATCTGTTCCTGGCATTCTTCGCCTCGGCCAAACCACGACTTGAATTTCCACCAGCATGGGATCGTGCTCAAGCCGCCTCTGTTCTATATCGTGCAGGGGGCTCTCTGACCAAATACGTGAAGGGTATGGGCCGTCAACTTGCAGCTCGACGCAATCTTGAATGGCATCCTCGGCGACTACGGCTCCCACCTTTACAGGTACGTCCAGTCTTATTGCCAATTTTTCTGCGAACACACAAGAATGTGGTCAAGAAGCTTGTATGGTCATCCTTACAGGAAATACGAGTGGCACCAGCGAGATCGTGGCTCCAGAAACACATTAAGATATGCTATCAAAAGGACCAGACATGGGTTCAGCGCTTGAATGGAAAACGAGTTCTTCGAGATTTACAAAAAACTTGGGTATCCGATTCGGAAGTTTCAGATCTTGGACGATGGGCCCAACTTCCCTCTTTGGTGGCTTATGATGCTCCGTGGAGGCTAAAGCGGTGGCCGACAGCGCGACGGATCAAGAGAACAGCCCTGAACGCTATGCATCATTGGTGTTCGCAACAGCGTCTTCATCTCAGAGTTCAACGACGATGTCGTGCAGCGTTAGATAACCTGGTATCCCGCCAAGTCTGTCCCGAAGCACCCAAGGCTTGGCTCAAGGAAGAAACACGTATGGCTATATCATTGAGTTCGTCAACCACTTTCCTACATGATGATCGACTTCACACCCGAGCGTGGAGCACCAAGACCGAAGAGTACGCCTCGCACCTCCTGCTCGGCATGGCCAAGGACACGGAGGCCTGGCGTTTCCATCCAGAGATGTGCCCATCCGCGTGTCTCGTATGGGCTGAGGCACGCGCCATCCTTGGTCTTCCAGATTTTCTCCGACGGCGAGTTCGGCAAGTGGCCTCCCGCATCCCTCAGGTCTTCGCCTTTGTCAAGAGCAAGTGCTGGCACCCAGGGGGCGGCCACGTCTGCACCAAGGCGGGCCACTCCTGCGTCCGTCGCGTCGTGGACATGGCGGGCACCCCGTTCGCGAAGAGCTGGAGGACCATGGGGCGGGCCGTGCGTGCGGTCGTGGCTGGCACGGGCCGCTCCAGAGAAGTCTTCAGCATGGACGACGTCGTCCCCGCGCTGAGGGAGACCCTGAGCCACCTCACTCCCCCTGAACGTGCCGTCACTGACGAGGGGAGCTGCGGGTGGCCTTGTGAGTGCTGCGGGGCCGAGTTGGATGGCCTATCGTGTGCAGCCGTAGACGTAGATCAGGCTTTCGAGGCATGCAAAGGTGAGTCGGTCATGAGTGCGTGGGGGAGAACAGCAAGGAGATTTCAAGAACGGTGGAAAACTGATTATGTGATGGTGCAGCGGGGGCGCAAATGCGTCACCCGCATCGGTCCCTCCCGATGGAATCGCGCCTGGTGGGTCCTGTCCTTATCTCAGCTTGGCTACGCCCTGAAAGCGTCAACAATGATAAGTTTAGCATGCGTGGGGGAGGTCGTTGTCGAGATGCTGGGTTTATGTATAGGAGGAGTTATGAGTTCAGCAGCTGTAGCAGTTCAGTTGGGCGATGAAGAGGCAAGCGTTCTGGAAGACCCCCACAAACTCGATTCCGAGGGCTGGATTTTTCCTGGACCAGATGTTCTATCTGCTTTTGCGTGGGTAAGGTATGTGGATGATATCTTGTCGTTCTCGTATCGTTTGTGTCCGACGTGCATGGTTCGTTGTCTGCGAGCGACTTTCAGGGAGCCTATCAGCACCGTTTTCTTAAGCAGCGCCAGCTCCAGAAGTGTGACCTGGCTCGACCTTGAGATCCACCTGGGCCACCAGTGCATTCAGTGGACGCTGAAAAATCTTAATCGGCAATGGTTGGCAGGCTCGTCACCATCTCATTCATCAGCGTTCTTGCCCTACCTGGACCATCTACCCGTACCTTTTACACGTCTTCGGGGAGTCTTCCTGGGCAAAATCGCGAGGGGGGTCACTCTTGAGTTGCCGACGGGAGCCCTGTATGTTTGCATCATGGAGTTGTTTATCGAGCTTATCAAGTTGTCTTATCCCTTCGAGGTTGTGCGTGCATTATCTCATTCTTTGCCTCCGTCCCCAGCCGTGCGGCTCGTAAGGCGGGCACTGCGCTCGTGGGGCAAGCTGTTCCTGCCTTCCCTTGGGGCGATGGGAGGCGGCAGCAAAGGAGGCGGTGGCCGTGGCCAGGGCTACGATCAACGGAACGAACCTGGAGAGGACCGGTATCGGTGGCCTTGGCCCAAACGTGATCAACAAGAAGACTCAAGAGATGGCGGACGCAATCGGAGCCGTCGCATGGGCAAGAAGAGCAAGAAGGATAAGAAGAGACCGAGGTCTTCGTCTACTACATCTTCGTCGTCTTACGACTCGGACAAGCAGCTGAAGGTGGCGGAGCGCATCATGTGGAAGAAGGACCCGTCGTACCGCGAGTACGTGAGGACCAAGGAGGCCGAGAAAAGGGACGAGGAGTTCGCGAGGCAGGGGCGCATCCTGGCGGAGGCTCTGGCACCAGGCCTGCAGGCGGCCATGGCGAGCGCTGTCACGATCACGGCACCCACGGTGGAGTTCCCGCCGCCGCCTCCGCAGACTGCGCCTACCGGTGGGAGCTCGGGGGCCGCCCCCGCGGGCGCCGTCGCCCCCGTGGGCATCGCTCCCGAGGTGCTCACCCCGCTCCAGCGCCACCTTATCTGCGCGGAGCTGGACCACAAGGTGAAGCTCACCGAGGGCACGCTTGAGGAGCTTATCAAAGAGATCGGGAGCAAGTGGTCGCAGAGGGCCGTCGTGCAGCGCCTGGACGAGGGCATCAAGCGCATGGGTGGCCCCACGACCAAGGTACCGAGAGCAAAAGAAGAACGGGCACGCCTTCTGTTCCAGTTGGTGCAGAAGATGGGCTGAGGAGATATCGAAGTTCACCACGAAGCTGCCGACAGTGATTCCGACGTTGGTTCCATTTTTGCTGACCCTTGCCCAGAGGTCTCTGTCCGAACAGTCGTACCTCATAAAAAAGAAGAACAAACTTATCAGGGCGTGGTCATTTTACCTACTTCCGTGTTCCTTTTCCTCGCTATCCTCACCCTCATCTGCGGAGGCGTTGTCGGTTACCAGCTTGTACCACGGGATTTCATGACCTACAGCTACCTGAAGTACTTGGCGATTGAAGCCGTGGGCAATCTAGCCATAGGTTCAATGGGGACGACGGGAGCTACGGCCGCCTTATCCTCAGCACCACCCGAAGTCTGGAGTTCACCAACGTCGACGGGGGCAAGCTTTCTTCTGGCGGCACTTCCGTGGGCATTCCAGCGCGGGTTGAGGCGTTTACGGACGTGATGGCTCATGGAGTTGCGAGAGCACGTATGATGCCGTGGAGTTTCATGGTTGACCCTCTGCTCATTGGCATCTCCCAGGAGGGACATCATCGCGTTTGTCCGTAGCTGGGTCGGCTGAGCGGGGAGTTCGCAGACGCACGCACGCTCCAGTCTGTTGCAGCTCGGTGCCATGCCAGTCAGCCGTACTTTCTGATAACGAGAGTTATCGCCACAAGAAAATCATCATCATCACCACCATCATCATATTTGTCAGCATCAGCAGTATCATAACCAGCATCATCATGAAATTATGCATCGTCAAAGTCATCCAAATCATCATCAGCAGCATCCTCATCACCAACATCATCGTCAGCATCAGCATCATCATCATCAGCATCATCCTCAATGGCATGATCATCATCAATATCAGCATCATCGTCATCGACAGCAACATCATCCTAATCATCCTCTTCATCATCAGCATCAGCATCAGCATCAACATCATCGTCATCAGCATCAGCATCATCATCACGATTAGCATCACCAGCATCATCATCATCATCTTCATCATCATCATCATCAGCAGCATCATCATCCTCATCATCATCAGTAGCAGTATCATCATAATCTCCCTCACCCTCCCGCCCTCCCTCCCCGTCCCCCTCCCCCACCCCCTCCTCCTCCTCCTCCTTCTCCTCCTCCTCTTCCTCCTCCTCCTCCTCCTCCTCTTCCTCCTCCTCCTCCTTTTCCTGTTCCTCCTCCTCCTCCCCCTCCTCCACTTCATCCTCCTCCTGTTCCTTATCCTCCTCCTTCTCCTCCTACTCCACTTCATCCTCCTCCTTTTCCTTATCCTCCTCCTCCTCCTACTCCATTTTCTCATCATCGTCATCCTCCTCCTCCTCCTCCTCCTCCTCCTCCTCCTCATCCTCCTCCTCCTCCATTTATTCTCCTGGTGAATAACCTCTCCCTGTCGCACCCCGGGGCCAGTTTTATGGCTGGCTGGGCGTTTCGCGTGAGACTTCCTCACCACCAGTGACCCTGAAGCATAAATATTGGCAACAGCTTTGCAGATGGAGGGCGATTGGTTTTCAAACTGTGGCTCTCTCCTTGGCGCCGCGACCTATCAAGAGGAATCTTGGAGGAAAGGACTATTTCAAAGTCGTTGATGACTCTTGGTTTTACACTGGTCCTCCTCCTCCTCCTTCTCCCTCCTCCTCCTCCCCCCGCTCCTGCTCGTCCTCCTCCTTTTCTTCTCCTCCTCCTCCCCTCCTCCTCCTCCTCCTCCTCCCCCTCCTCCTCCATCTCCTCCTCCTCCTCCTCCTCCTCCTCCTCCACCACCTGCTTCTCCTCCTTTTCCACCTCCTCCTCCTCACTCCTCCTCCTCCTCCTCCTCCTCCTCCTCCTCCTCCTCCTCCTCCTCCTGCTCCTGCTCCTGCTCCTGCTCCTCCTCCTCCTCCTCCTCCTCCTCCTCCTCCTCCACTCCTCCTCATCTTCCTGCTCCTCTCCCTCCTCCTCCTCTCCTCCTCCTCCTCTCCTCCTCCTCCTCCTCCTCCTCCTCCTCCTCCTCCTTCTCCTCCTCCTCCTCTCGTCTTCTCCTCCTCCTCCTCCTCCCTCCTCCTCCTCCTCCCTCCTCCCTCCCCCTCCCCTCCCTCCCTCCCCTCCCCTCCTCCTCTACCCTCCCCTCCCCTCCCCCTCCCCTCCCCTCCCCTCCCCTACCCTCCCTCCCCTCCCCTCCCTCCTCCCCCTGCTCCTCCTCCTCCTCCTCCTCATCCTCATCCACCTCCTCATCCTCCTCCTCCTCTTCCTCTTCCTCCTCCACCTCCTCCTCCTCTTTCTCCCCTACTCCGCCTTCTCCTCCCCGCCTCCCCCTACATAACAGGCCTGGCAATGGGTTCGGGAGACGTGGGACTCGCCAATCACTAGAGGAAGAACCTGCGCCACCAGAACAGGTCCATATCCACTGCCGCGGAATCGTGACCAGGGGGCTCGAGGAGCGGTGGATATGGATACCTTCCCGCCCATGCTGGCGGGGATATCCATGTCCAAGCGGTGGATGTGGATATTTTCTTGCGGTGGAGAACCAACTACCTAAAAATCAACCGTCCGAGGTCCACGGGCATTTCTTGCATTGCTGCTGGGCCCCCTGGCGCCCTCCGCGCTCCAGGGAGAAGGGTACAACGCCGATCCGAGAACTCCGCCTGGACCTCCGAAGTTCCCGTTAAGGGCTCAGGCCCAGGCTTCTCATTTAGTGTGCGGGCCTTTGCCCCTGTACCGGACAGATGTCGAGCACGGGGCGTCGGAATTGGTCATGTAAACATACGTGTGCGGAAGGAGGGTCTCTACCATGCGTCTCGTCGCGCGTGCGTCTGGCACGTGCTTTCAAGTGCTACTGGCGACAATGGGGCCCCCAGGGGGTATCCAACTTACTCGCGTGGGATTCTTCACGCGAAAGAATGCGTGCGCAGACGGGGGGCGTGCGCGCAGGACGCGTGTTTTCACATGTCCAGGGGGGCGTCGGGTATCTAACTTACTCGCGTCGAATTCTTCACATGCAAAAATACGAGCGCGGAGTGGGGTGTGTTGTCACGCGTCCACGGGGGGCGTCGGATGTTCAACATGGTGTGGGGGGGGGAGCGTTTCGTCTGAGACATCCTCACAGTGGGGATATTGGTATAATGGAGGGGTTGGTCTACGACGCTGGTTCTCAAAAACCGAAGCCGTCGCTTCACACATCCTCGCAACACTGAAATGTTGGAGATCGGGCATCGGATATTCGACATGGTCTGGAGGGGCGTTTCGCCTGAGATATCCTCGCAGAATGGGCTTGTTGGTAGAGTTGCGTTACGACGCTGGTTCTAAAAATGAAGCTTTCGCTTCGCATGCGACATTCTCACAAAATTGAGATGTCGAGCTCGGGCGTGGGATATCGAACATGGTGTGGCGGGGTGTTTCGCTGAAGACATCCTGAGAAAACCATT